TAGAATTACAATAATTAATGTCTGACAATATTTTCAGGTGGTGGACCTCCCCCAACACCAATTAGCCCAGTTACAGAAGCTGTGGTGGACTGTATAGGCCGGGAGAATACAGTGCTGACAGGGATTGGGCCGATGTCCATGGATTCTAGTTTCATCCAGCTCCTAGCGCTAGATCAGTCCTTTGAAAAGTAGGTAATAACATATTGAAACAATTGTATGAGTTCCCCTGACCATGTACACCTGACCATTTGAATTCCTAAAATTAAAGTTGAAATTAGAAATTAGATAAACCTTGTTTCTATATTTGTCTGAAAATCTTTGAAGAGATAAAATAATAACAGAAAACAGGATTTAAAAAGTAATGATATATTTTGATGAATACAATACTGATAATCTACATCTGTGTTTCAGAGAGTTAGATCCAGTTCAAGAGGGAGTGAGATGTCCTTATCCTACATCACAGGTGGGACAGTCATCATCAGCATCAGCAGCATCAGCATCACTATCAGCAGCAACATCCATATCAACAACTTCCTTAGAAGTCCTAGAAAGAGAGAAGTTTCTACTGGAGATTGAAGTTCTAAAGTTACAGAAAACTTATCTTCAATCAAAATTAAGGAAATTAGAAGAATAGCTGTATCAAATACTAGTAGTCAGTATCAGTTTATGTCTGTATGACTAGTTCAACCTACACACAAAAATCTTGATTAAGCACAAAGCATTAAAGTTATGATTTGTTGGTATGTGTGACTTATCCATTAATATGAAATAGAATTTTGTGTCTATTTATGTCTAATTATTAACATGTATGAGTTGTACTGGGGTATTTTTTTGACAAAAGTAAATTTGGTCATTGTATCTATATGTATCTCTCAAAGGTAGATTTCCTCAATGTTCAGAGATAATGACAGCAGATTAACAGAAGCTAAAAAAATAACAGAATATGGGAACAATTTTGATTTTCTTTGACTTGAATTGTTGGGTAAACACATGTTCTTACCAGGAAATTATGGCATATGTTCTGACTTGATTGTTGCTAAAACTAATTCTTTGTGTATGTTGAAATATTACATAGACAAATTAACTAAGTGTTCAAGGTGACTCTGTTGGGTGTCAAATGTTTCAAAAAATTAAAAGTTTTATCGCTTGTTATTGTATTGATAGTTACAATACTTGGGGCTAACTTCTTTGTGTATGTTGAAATATTACATAGACAAATAGACAAATGGTTAAATGAACTAAGTGGTGAAGATGAGTCTATTTTGTGTCAAATGTTTCAAATATTTTAAAGTTTTATTGCTTGTTATTGTATTGATAGTTACAGAATGTACTTGTTGAATATCATGTGTACACATTGAGTGTTATATTAATTTTGGAATAAAATGAAATCAAATAATTTCAGGTATAAACATGGATAAAGTTAACCTAATTGTACAGTGCTGGAACTCAATCTCTACCAATAAACACTTGTTGCCATGTGACAAGAAATTTACAGAAAAATTAAATAATGTCAATCTTAACTGTTAACAGAAAATGTATTTTGTTTTTCATGTAAAAGAATAATTGATAATCAGATGAATTCTAAAACATATTCCAAAACAAACAATTATCCTTAGAGATGATAAATATTCATTCTTTGAAGGAATTTTTCATATAATCCCATAATCATATTTTATGAAAGATATTCACATCTAAGTCACTACTTTTGATTTATATTTAAGTTGCATATTCTTATGAGAGATTTTGATTGTCTGATGTTTATGAATTATTATATTATATTTATGATTACATAGCTGTAATGATATAGCTATAAGCATTGATTTATAAAAAAGTATAGATTTTACTGTAGTGTGTGAACAGTGCTCATTATTTTCCTGTTAATCTATTGCTTATTTAGAACCTGTCCTTTGTAATGGGTACACTTACAGAATACCGGATACCTAATTATATACATTCTATTGTGCGCGTGAGGCTCCTATATATAGAAGAAACAGAGAGCGCGAGCCTGCGAGCGATCCAATAAAAATACGAATTTAAGGTAAAAAATAAGGTTAAAATCGAATTCCTCACCTTACTTCCGGTTTAGGAAACCTAAACTGGGGATTTTAACAGCGTTCACTGACGTAAACAGAGTAAAAAGTAATCGTGTGTTGAAATTTTATTCAAATGCATGCTGGGAAAAGGAACTCTACAGTGTGGGAACACTCTGATGGTAAGTGATTTTTGATTGGTAAGGTAAGGTAGGTAAGGCTTTTAAATAAAGGGGGGTACCCCCTTTACCTTACATTTTTTTAGCTTTAATATTGTTTAATATTTAATATTTAATATTGAACGCTCCTTCAACACAGCCTTCATTCATCGCGTGCCGTTGCTAAGGAAACAAAATGGAAGTGCGCAAAAATAAATGCGCAATCAAAATAAAAATGGCGGATAGGTATCCGGTATTCTGTAATCTTGCCTAAGAAAGGTGTTAGCAACCAACGTCTGGACGGATAACCGCTGTCACCGAGGAGGTGACACCCAGCTGGCAAGTTGTTACCCTCCATTAACCGGAAAAGGCCACTCTGGGACAAGATTCTCGAGTCGTGTGTGGACCCAGGCCAGCGTGCAACGATGTCAATGATGCGATCGAAGGGATCGAATACTACCTGAAAAATACAAAACCACGGCACGTTTACAAGCTTGTTACGCCCAAATCGACGATCGAAAGGTTTGAGACGTTACTGTACATGTATGTCTTTAGAAATGAACTATTTTTCATCACACAAAATATGAATCCGTAAAGAAAGTACCTGTGTGTTGATGCTGTGGTAGTGATGCCGATTGACGTAAACATCCTCATTTACAGTCGGTGCCTGTATCTGTATGTGTGTGCCATCAATGACGCCGATCACCCCCGGGAAGTTGGCTGTCCGGTGAAACTCCACCTTGTTACGTTGACACTCGGCAGGACTGGGAAAGTGTATAAACCGTGCCACCATGGCAGGTGTGGTCAAGGCTTCTACAGTCGTGCATATCGCACGTGAAACGCTCGGTTGGCTCAACCCATGATCATCCCCGTTACACAATTGAAACTTGCCTGTTGCCAGGAACCTCAAAGTGACTAAAAGTTTTGTTGTCGCGTCAATTGCATGATTCCGTCCAGTTAATGGCTGTATTTGTGCTCCAACAAGTTGCAATAAAAATCTAATACCTTGTTGGTTCAGTCTGTATCTCTTAAGAAGTTCCTCATCACGCATATCATTGAATCTGTTGGATCTTGGCAAATAAACACGCTGTGCGGCAGCCATCTTAGTTACAGACTTAAGTTGAAATCCTATAGTTAAGCCTACATGGATGCAGGCTTAGGAAATAAGTCCAAAAACAACAAAACTTAAGTCTAAAACCTTTATTGAATATGACTAAGAAAAAAACAAGTGACTTAAGACAAAACTTAAGTTTTTTCAAAAAACTTAAGTCACTTTCCATAGACTTAAGTCTTTTTAAGGACTTAAGACTTTTATAGAATACCGCCCCAGGTGTTTGCGGAAAGGGTAAGCAGGCCTTGCTTGACATATAATCCCCTCAGGTGGCACAGTTTCTTGTTCAAGTGTTGTGTGTTGCGCAGTACGACGGTGGCCTGCAGTGAAACCAGACAATCACGTGATGGACTAACAAATCCAGTGACATGATGACGCATTTAATTGATTTTGCTGAAACTTATTATCTTTAGTTAACAAATGCATTGGCTTGAAATTCTTATTTTTGTATTCTAAGCAGGGTGCTGCATTAAGCCTCAAATGGATACTTATTGTGTTTGATTTCCTTTAACAAGACCTGGAAAGAATGCAATCACTATGCAGTTTCCGCCCAAACGCTCATCCACTTTTGACATTTCTAATAGAAGTTTTTGCAACAGCATTAAAGCAGTTATGCATGTTAAGAAAAGGGTTATATTTACGCATTAACACTAGCGCAGAAAATATCTATATCGGTTTACTTTGGTCAGTATAAATGTATATTGCTCAATTTCTTGACTTTCATGTAACTAATATGATAAAATATGTAATTAGAGCATTACCAAAACCAGGGTGATGGTTTGGTTTAAATGCACTTAATGTTTTCTTAGCATTCCTCATTAATTGTTATCGTCAGTACAAAAAGAAATGCCTAGTCTTGACTATCCTCAGACCACACTCCATTTCATGTGAAGGGCAAAATAGCTGTGAACATGATTTGAATGAAGCAATGAAAATCTGTGTGTACCCTACCGTTGGCGCTCACCATTCACACATATCTAAACTATCGTACATAATATCAAATAATCCTATTCATTTTTGTATCGTATTATTATTTCTAAATTGAGAGCCGTTTTCAGTAAACTATGTGCGGACATTCAGGAACAATATTTTGTTGCTTAGCGTTTGCTTTAAAATAATTCACAGCTCCTGGCACCAACTGTGACGGTAACAATGTGACCTGTGTTGACGGTGAAGATGTTTAATTTGTACATTGAACACATACCATACATTTACATTTTCATTTTCCATTCGACAGTTTCTTCTAAAAGCACACCCTGCAATTGTGACGTTAACAACGTGACCTGTGTTGACGTGGTGTGTCCACCTCGCTGTGTCAATGTGACGTCATCTGGAGAGTGTCTCCAGTGTCTGGACTCCAGGTTCTATGGTAAACAGTGTCAACATGACTGTCCAGACACCTGTCTCAACTCTCGCTGTCAGATGAACAACACCCGTGTTGTGTGTACAGAGGGATGTGTGGCCGGCAAGAAGGGAGATAACTGTGGAGTTAACTGTCCTACAGCCTGTACACAGTGTGAACGTTATGGTAATGGTTGTACAGGACCGTGTCAGAATCCCCAGTATTACGGTCAACACTGTAGAACACCTTGTCCCTCCATCTGTACAGGTGGATGTAATAGGATCACAGGGGAGTGTGGCAGCTGTGAGCCGGGGTACACAGGGGACAAGTGTGATGTTACCTGTCCCCCAACTGTACAGGTGGATGTGATAAAGACACAGGGGAGTGTGGCAGCTGTGAGCCAGGGTACACAGGGGACAAGTGTGATGTTACCTGTCCCCCCAACTGTAGAGGTGGATGTGATAAAGGATCACACAGGGAAGTGTGACAGCTGTGAGCCACAGGGTACAGCAGGGACAAGTGTGATGTTACCTGTCCCCCTAACTGTAGAGGTGGATGTGATAAAGACACAGGGGAGTGTGTGACAGCTGTGAGCCGGGTGTACACAGGGGACAAGTGTGATGTTACCTGTCCCACGTCCAGTAATGCATCCGTCCACCTTGACCAGGTCATTGACGGTAACTGGGTAGCCATGTTTGTTTACAAAATACGATTAGAATTTTTTTTTATTACAAAACATGTTAAGTAAACGACGCCATATTGTCAATGAAATATGAAATGAAGCATTAAATAAGCATCCAAATCGAAATCCTGTATGTTTTTTTACTATTTTAAAATCTCAATCAGTGCGATTACAGCACGGTCAATTCATCAATGAATCGATGCAATATTATGAATGCGAAACGTCGAGAATCACTAAAGTGTGCACGTTTTGCAAATCTCCAAAAGATATTACAGGGGATCTCCTCATCCGTATGGGTAATAAGTAAAGATCCTTTTCAACACAACACCGTAAATGGCTTGTGAACTGACTGAATACATTGTCAACAGGATATCATACAGCGTCAATGTGTGCTAACATAGTCATATTCAGTATAGTCATATACTCGAGTCTGACAATTTATATAATGCAATCGACCTTTCAGCAGTAAAATTTCTCAGACGGGGAGACTGCTTTCATTGGATAGATTAAATACCCATTACGATAATATATTAACCTATTAACTGAAGTTCATATCTATAATGTATTTTATATAATGTGTCTTATTGTTTTATGTCTTTTCTGCAGGAGGTCTAAATTTCCCATTTAAAATTACGACTGGAATACTGACGATGGTTATCCTTCTTGGGATTGTCATATTGGTCGTTCGACAATTTCCGAAATGTTTGGGAAGGTGAGAAAAATATTATATACAAAATCTACCGTATCATGTCACAGGTTCCAAAACACTGTTTTATGACTTGGCGATGTCAGATAAGTTCAGATAAGTGTCATTAAATGCTTGTTCTCATCGCATGAATATATCTGTCAACATTTCAAAACAATTTCAAAAACGTATATTTATACATTTTATTAAATAATCCAATTCCCATTGGGCATAATGCGCATTTGAGCCTACACACTGTCATGGCTGTTTTCAGAGATGGTTCCACAAGGTCATCTCCACCAGAAGATGGGACACAGCCGGAACATGCAGTCAGGTCGGGGAATGACCACGACAGTGATTACTGGACACACAAGTACTGGGAAATACACGACAGAGATATTAACTCCTCATCGCCGTGTTCAAACACAGGTTCCTCTGACACCGAAGTCGTGAAGCTCCGGATAAAGCACCATGAAACCGTGAAACCATTATCAGTGGAAGGACAAGCGATCTTTCGTGGACCCTCAAGTGTAATCGAGAGACCCCTTTCAGAACCACCAGCTGACACAACCTCGTCGTTATCGCTGTTGAGTGCAATAGCACAACATGTCAAAGATGATAGTTTAAGGTCAAAGTCACTCCATGATGACTGTGACCTGACTATATCGATAGAGGTTCAAGAATTGATAAAGAAAACGGATTCGATCATATTCATTGAGCAAAACTGTGACTTGTCAAACGTGACTGCCACTTACCTTTGTCCAAAAGCTGACACATGTAAGGACTAGCATGATAAACGTTAGTAAGGGAATATCGATTTTAGTCACAATCAGCAATATATACTGACCGCGATGGTCTTCAAACAAACGTGTAGTGGACAAACCAGTGACTAAAGCCATGAGAAAGTATTATCGTCCAATACGGCCATAGCTAATGAGCTTAATCAAATTTACAAAAAGCTTTCTTGACTTGCCTTTGCATGCGTTTATGACGCCACGTTACCTATCTCTGTGTTGGGGGGCAAGTTACGCTCACCGTGAAGGAATCACGTGGCATCCTCTCTATTTGATATTGGTTCATAAAACTCATGATATAGTCGGGATCGTTCAGTCTGCTCTGATTTTGACAGACATTTCTTATGAATGGGGAAAGGCTTTATTGTCATACTCATTAATCACGACTCATTGTACATACAGGAAAACCACATGCATCAGAGCACATCTGTACTCTGTTTATATGTTTCTTGATATCTGTAATAATTGTGTATGCCAGCATTTAACACTTTGCTTCAAGCTAAATAAATTACACAGACCCTACTTGTGTTTATTGTTCCTTGTATATTTGACACTTATCATTGATACAACGTTTAATATTTAAACGCATTTTGAGCAACAAATAAAAGTTTGATAAGTAGTTTCCATAGTTTTCTGATGAAATTTGTCGGTTGAAACCTGCTCATTATCCTATGGCATTTTTCAATCGGCTCGATTAATACACCTGTGTAATTGTTCAGATGTTGATAACAAATGCTTTATATGTATTCAGAAGAAAACCATGCACACGTCCACGTCAGTCAAACAGTCATCAGTGTGATCTGCCCAGAGAGGAGTGTGGTGCGCTAACTTTCACAAGTCCAATGTCGACTAAGTTTCTTATTTTGAATAGTTTATGATTTACGCAAATTACTGCAAAATATGTAAATCACCCAGCGACGGGTGTGTAGCCCAAAGTCTTCTAAGGTTGGCTTACTTGGATAGTTGTCTGGAAGTGTATTGAATGTATAAAATAAAATTATGCTTGTGAACTATGGAAGTTAAGCGGGCCAGTAGAAAGAGTTGTACTGTATTCATGGCACTATCGACAGTGCAGTGTAACCAAAATGTCTGTGAACAGTGAAGTCTAAAACTCATATGAGTTTTGTGTAAAATATATCTGGTGTACCAAAGAGTTTTACAGTTTCCCAGTGCAGCGGGGTTGTCTCCCTTCGTATACAGCTGCTGGAAGTACCATGTGGTGTCACATAGCTATTATTGATCAACGCCCCTTGTGTTTCAGCGAGAGAGGTATACCCATACGAAACTTGATATAAATGCTATAACAGGAAATATTTGCATGAATTTGAAAGGGTTTACATGTCAGTTACAAATTCAGTGCCAAGTTTGCACTACAACAACCACTGCTACTACCACTACACCACCAACACCCAACAAGAACTACTACTACTACGGCTGCTGCTAATACTACTACTACCACTACTACTACTACTACTACTACTACTACTACTACTACTACTACTACTACTAACACTACTACTACTACTACTACTACCACTACCACTACTACTACCACTACTACTACCACTACTACTACTACTACTACTACTACTACTACTACTGCTACTGCTGCTGCTGCCACTGCCACTGCCGCTGCCACTACTGCTGCTGCACTCACTGCCACTGCCACTGCTGCTACTGCCACTACCGCTGCTACTGCTGCTGCTACTGCTACTGCCACTACCACCACTGCTACTGCTACTACTACTGCTACTACTACTGCTACTGCTACTACTGCTACCACTACTGCTACTACCACTACCACTACTGCTGCTACTGCTGCTGCTGCTACTGCCACTGCTGCCGATGCTACTACTGCCACTACTGCTGCTACTGCCACTAGTACTACTGCTACTACTACTACTACTACTGCTACTACTACTTCTACTACTACTACCACTACCACTACCACTACCACTACTACTACTACTACTACTGCCACTACTACTACTACTACTACTTCTTCTACTACTACTACTACTACTAAGCCATGTCTTGTGAACCAAACTATTGCTGGAATATTGTCAAAAGCAGCATTAAACTGCATTAATGTCAATGTTCAGCTGTACCCTTCATAGTCACACATATTTTTATTTAACAAATCAAAAGCCATTTATTCATTATTCAATGTGGTTAACTTTGCTGTTGAAGTGTGATGTCATATTTACACCGTCATGCGATCATCTGTTGATACACCTGGTGATAATAATATCTGGGTACTATTCACGTACCCACATCAACCCCATGTCCACACTCCCGTAATGTCTATTTAGAACAATATTGACACTGTCGGTTTAGATATGGTTATATAATACCGAAACAATACGACTTGAATAAAAGGATGATCTATATTCACAAGGCACCCGTGAAGAGCCTCGTGGTGGGTGCTGGGTAACGCTAAGCGCTCTTCGACCCCCCCGTTGTGCACCCGGGGGTATATTTGGTCCACCAACCTGTTTTCCGTGGGTTGCGCCCCGGTGTCGGTGGAGGACGGGATTCTGGTGGTTGAGGGCAATAGGATCCTGGAACCGTGTTCCTTTTGCCCAACTCACCACTTTGGCCCTTACTTCACCTAGACGGGTGGTAGAACTGGCCCGGTTCTATCAATCGGCTGGTCACGCCAAGCCCTGCGCATGGCGATTATGCACATTTAAATTATCATTGGGTCTAGGATATTTTGATTTATTGTGTAAAAAATATTGATCATATTAAATTGCCTAGAGTCCTATGCCAGACGGCGGTGGCTCATGGACCAATCTGGTGATGTTGACCGCTGAATTCTATGTGTCTTTAGATTTTTGTTATGGGCCGGACCAGCCTGACATCTACTCTATTAGACGAATTTAGCTATTCACGTCATATGTACTGGAGTATAGCACCCCTGTATCCCTGGTGTTAGCATCCTGGAGATCCAGTGCAAATTGACACCGTCCTTGTTGACACTCCATGGTGGGTGGGGAGCAGGGGTGTCGAATTCATATACTGTACCATGTCTCAATACAATTCACCTGGTTCATCCAAAGCAAATAAACGCAGACATGTAGATGTGCTCTCGTCTGATGAGGAGGTCGCTCCAGAGATTTCAGATTCTTGGCCACGATTCATCGTAATTGCGTCAGTTGATGGAAGCCCATTAAAACTTAATCCATTTGCTATCTCGGCGGGCATTAGAGGTGTCTGTGGCGATGTCAAGAATGTCACACGACTACGGACTGGTGCCTTGTTAGTGGAATGTGTACGGAAACACCAATCAGTCAACCTGTTGGGCTTACAACAGTTTGTTAATACTCCTGTTGTTGTTTCGGAGCACAAGACACTGAACACGAGCAGAGGCATTGTCAGAGATGTTGCTCGCTGTCTTTCTGACATGAGCGAGGAGGAAATTGCTGTTCACTTAAAAGCTCAAGGAGTTACAAATGTAAAATGTTTTTCCAGAAAAAACTCAAGATGGTACCTTTGTTAAAACATACACCTATCTTTTCACTTTTTCTCAACCTGCATTACCCAAATCACTAAAGGTTGGATATTTCAACATCGGGGTGGAGGTCTATGTACCAAATCCACTCCGATGTTTTAAGTGTCAAAAGTTTGGGCATGGCGCCAAGTTCTGCCGAAGCAAGATGGCAGTATGCTACCGTTGCAGTGGAGCCCATGATAGCTCTGAGTGAATCTTTTGAATTTGAAGCCCAAATCCTAAAAATTAAACATACAAATAACATCACCTACCAAGAAGCAAAACACTAGTTCCATCTTCTGCTCAAACTTATGTCAAAACATATTCCGCAGCAATTGCATCCTCCACTCCGGTTTGCAAGACAGTCTCTGTTTCGTGTCAGACCAACATCTCCTGGGTCAAGGACGACCAGACTGTACTGCAGCAGTCCACTGCACTATCTCAGGAAGGTAGTCTGCAATCAACAACTTCACAAACGGACAATCCTACCATTGATGTACCATCTGACTCAATTGAAAGTACACCTGTGGGTGATGCAAGGTTAACTAGAAAAGAGAAAAAGAAATTGGAAAAAAGAAAAAAGGCTCTCACTTACGTGAAGACACCCACTCCTGTTGTTACACCTGTTGAGGTTCATAACTCCATTACAAACAATCAATGGGAGTGAACACTCCTCCCAATCACGATCTCCAGTTAAGCCTCCATGAACAGCTCCAATACCATTATTCAGTGGAATTGTAGAGGACTGAAGAACAATTTTAATGATATACACTTACTTATACAAGATTTTACGCCATCGGCATTTTGTTTACAAGAAACGTATTTTAAAGGAAACGATCGAATTGATATAAGACAGTATACTCCATACCATTGCTTTTCTCATCCAGGGCCGAAAGCAACTGGGAGGTCTTCAGTATTAGTGAGACAGGGCATACTTCACAGTCCTGTTCCTCTAAATACCCATCTGCAAGCTGTTGCTGTCCGTGTAACCATGCACATTGTTTTTACATTGTGCTCACTCTATCTTCCTCCTTCTTCTTTTGTGCAGCCTGTCGATCTTCAGGCGCTGTATGACCAACTTCCTAAGCCCTGTATCACCATGGGTGATTTGAATGGACACAACCCCCTGTGGGGAGGTGCACATACAAACAGCAAAGGGAACGTACTGGAACATTTTATTTCTACCAACAATATCTGTCTCTTTAATGATAATTCCAACACTTATTTACATCCTGGTACAGGAATATACTCTTCACTTGACTTATCCATCACTGACTCTACTCTGCTGAGTGAGTTTGAATGGTCAGTCCATGACGACCTGTGTGGAAGTGACCATTTTCGAACCATTCTCAAAGCTATATGTCCCTCTGACATCCCTCCATTGTCGAGAAGGAACTTTACTAAAGCTGACTGGCTTCTGTTTGAATCACTTTCATCCAACAAATTGAAACCTGAACTGTTTATGGGAGTTCCTGACCCTGTTAAACTCTTTTCTGATGAACTGAACAAAACAGCTGATGACTCCATTCCAAAGTCCTCTGCAAATCCACACATACGAAAACCATGGTTCAACGATGACTGCAAACAGGCTAGGAAGGCACGGAAAAAAGCTGAGAAATATTTCCGTCGCCAGCCTATGGTCCATAATTTGAACAAGTTCAAAATCTTAAATGCAAAAGCAAGACGTACCTTCAAACAAAATAAACGTCAATCTTGGCGAAACTATGTCTCGCAAATCAATTCACGTACGCCGATAACCAAAGTATGGAACATGATCCAGAAAATCAAAGGCAAGGGTTCTCAATCTAGCATTAGGCATCTTAAAGACGGAGACAAGTTATTAACTAGTAAATCCGATATTGCAAATAAACTTGGAGAAACTTTGGCTAGACACTCTTCCTCATCGACTTATGTACCTCTATTCCAAAAATATAAGAAACAAAAAGAAAAGAAAACTATCAATTTCACTTCAGATAATGGGGAAGATTACAATGAAGTATTTTCGATTCATGAGCACCGTACTGCTCTT